TAAATATGACATGATATTAGAGGGAGAAGTATGTTAGAGTAGGCATTTTCTAAGATTTAAAGGCATTGGGATAAATTTTTCTCTTACTTTGCAGTCTTTACTCATAATAGCAAAATAATGGAATTTCACCTTGTAAGAAGATGGAATCATAATAGAAGTAAAAATCACAAAGTCAGTTTTCAGCTGCCAATCTAGTTCAGTTATGTGATTTTTCTCTTTCAGAGAGAAATATAGTACCTTTCCATAAGTGTTTTCATTTTATTCTCTTTCAGATGCACAGTTTCAATCAACATACCAAACACCACTCAAATTATTGTCATTGCATCTGATTTTAAATTTTTACTTTTAACAATAGGACCTTAAACGTGTATAGAACTTTATAGATTTGAGTTCAATTTGGTATCTAGTTATTTCATTTGAACCATGCAGCATCTCTATGCTGAACTTGGTTGCAACATTGTTAATCACATTTTGAAAATGAGAGTTCTTTAAATATGGACTCTGCTGGATCCTGTAACACATGACCCAGAACTAAACTGAATGAAAGGGTCTGGGATCTGAACTTGAGATGAACAGAGATGGGACCAGTACAGCAAGCTGTGTAGGCAGAACAAGGCAACCAGAAAATGAAGTGATGAATGGCAAAGGAGCAGCCATGAACTTGGTGAACTCTATGGGGACCCAGGTGTAGCACCATGTGTTCCCACAACCAACAGTCTAGCAGAGATAAGGAAACCACCTGTAAAGACGTAGGCAGGTAGCTCCCATCCAGAGATACATGAGGATAGTAACACAGCCGTGGGACCAGGGTTGCCCAAACTGCTCCATCCTTGGAGACAACATACAAGAGGAACTGTGCTGCTACAAAAACAGATAACTCAGGTGTAATGATTGGGTTCCTGCCCCTGAGACAGAAGCTCTCTCATTGGATTTGCTTCAGTAGGTTTTTATATGGTCCACCTGTCTCCAGGCATCTATCGTTCAACTCCAGTCTTCAGGTGGCAGGAGCAGGAAGCATCTTTGATATGAAAGACTTTTAAGAGCTGGATTCTGCCTGTTTTCTCATTATCTGCCATAGCCCTTGATATTCTAGTATCATTTCTTGTTGTAGGGTCTTCTTGTTATTCATTCCATCTGCTTGGAAAACGCTCTGCCTTCTTTTCTGCATGACAATATGTTAATCTTCTGTTCTAATATCACACTTTTTTTTATTTACCCAACAAAGATTTATTGAACATGCATGATAAGCACTATGTTATAGTCTGTGGATATAGAGATAAATAAACAGGGTCTTTGAATTCTGGAAATTCACAGCGAGACAGTGGGTATGTGCTTATAGTTACAGATAGCCACTAGAATTCAGTGTAATGTTGACATATTTGTTAAAGGATTATTTTTAAAGAAACTATAATCATAGCTCTCATACAAATATAAAATGAACATGCACCAAAATGAACATGAAAAGATTGCATTTAACTCATTAATTCATGAGGGTACCAGTAAGATAAGATGTTATAAATGATTCAAAGGAGAATTCAAAGAATGTATGTAAATATATGTAAAAATGAATTTGCAAAAAGACAAAAATAGGTCTACCCACAGGGCAATATTCAATTCAGTTGCATTCCACCAAACACAATTAATTTACATGTCTATGGACAAGAGTCAGTTGCATTATTATCAGTTTTCTACATTTTCTAGAGTTGTAAAATAGCTCAAAGATAATGAAAAGGGGAAATGACCTCGATGGTGAGCTAGACAAGACACACAATACTGTTTTCTTGCCCATTTCAAAGTTTTCCATAAATTTTGCTGACAGACTTGAGGCATATGAGAGGGTGATGGTCACAGAGATTATGTATGTGAATTTGCCCAGAGTTGGAGAAATTAAGAGGAAAGCTTCAGAGAATATTTGATGATTCCTACTGCAAATGGAATTTTTCCACGTTAATGTGAGAATGAACGTGAGGTCTTGTTGTAAGACTGAGAAAGCGGTATAAACAAAGGCTTCAAGGTAGTAAAATGAACAGTTCTGAACATTGTTTCCTTGTGAGTGCTAGGGGACTAGAGTTCATGACCTCCCTCAGTCTGTTCAGGATTCTACACAGAACCCTGATAAAAGAATTCCTCTGAAATTGAGACAAGAGCAGTCAATGTCCCTTTCTTCTTAGATGGCTGGTTCTCAAAGTGCTGTCCAGAAACTTGTGCAAAGTGAAAATTCTTGGGCCCTAACCCACACCTAGTGAATGAGAAATTCTGAGAGTATGCCAGATTATTTGTGTTCTGACAAGCCTTCTGGCTGATTCTGACGTTCCTTTGAGTTTGAGAACCACTCCTAGAGAGGCAGGTAGCTACCTGAAGACCTGCAGGGAGATACTGCCTTGAGGAACTGGAAGAAAACCCTTCCACAGTTACACACCAAGAAAATACATACGAGAACAAATGTACATACAAATGCGAGTATATATGTCTGCTTTCGGAAAACAGTTTATCCACATCTGTCCCTTTGTTGCTTCCTCTGGTCTCTGAGAACAGATGCTGTATTTTCCCTCAAACCCATGTAGGTCAAGCCCATGGTAGACACAGTGTGAGAAACATTTACTAAATGGCTGAGGAAGTGACTTCCAATGCGGCAGGACCCTGACATCAGGACACAGGACCAAGACTACGGTTGGGCCAGCAGAAAAGCTGGTGTGAATAATGGATTAGAATGCCTCCAGTCCTCCAAGTCAACAGAGCAGTTCAGTTCCCAGTGGGAGAAGATGCCACTTACACGGGTGGGGGTTGGGATGCTGGATCCTGCCTCCCCCTGGAAATCAGAGCCTAACGTAAGGATCTGCCTGAACGTAATTTGTGTTGGAAAGTGATCTGAAGGAAGTGCAATGGGAGACAGAGGAGAACGAAAGAGGGAAAGGAAAACTTGAACTGATCCTTGTCCCTTCCATGGGCACTAGAGTTGGACTGCGGCAGCACCCAGGAGGAACCCATGGGATACATTCCCAGTTGTCCACCACCATTGTCCACATGAAAAAGGAAGTGCTATCCTTTTGCTTTTATTTGCTTTGGTCAAGGTTTACCTCATGGGGTGGAAACTCACTCAAAATTGCAAGCTATATGTGCAAAAGTGGGTGCCTTCAACGTTGCAGAGAAATCTTTGGACAGAAAGCCAGAAATGCCAGATGGACCTGAGCCAAGGGGCTGTCAGGTTGCACCTTCAGGTAGCTGGTTGCAGCCGCGGTGGCTGGAATAAAAGGAGGGGCGCAAGGAGTGCTCATTATGTAGATATTTTATTCTCGACTGAAACCTTCCAAAGTGAGGATCATCCCATGTCCCCCCTCAGGGGGAAACCAGTTGGCCCATCTCAGAAGATTTTGACGAAACAGGAGACCCCACTTATGCCTTCAGCAGTCAGGAGAGGGGAAGGCAGGAAGGCAGTGTGGAGACTGAGTGGTCTCAGTTAACCCACATCAACTCTGGAATCCACAGCCTGAGCATTCCATCCTTGCCACTCCCCAGTTCCATATTCTTGAGAAAGTTTGATTTTCCCCAATCCTTGAGTTGTTCATGTAAAGTTACAGTGATAATTTACTTATCAGTCTCATAAGCATGTTGGGAGATGGAAATAATATAGTATTTATAAAAAGTATAGAAACAGTAACAACCAAACTAACATAACAGCTGGTTATCATTAAGCATTTTTTATGCACCAGTAACTGTGATAAGTACTCATATTCCTCAAAGCTGTACTGTGACTAGGTTATGTCAAACCCATTTTACAGATGAGGAAACTGAGACATAGGAGGCTAGGTAAGACACACACAGATACTCACATACTCACATACTTAGTAAACAATCAAACATATTCAAACAAAGCTATTGGGCTTCAAGGCAAAGGTTTTTTAATAGCAGTTACTTTTTTCTTTCTTTTTCTTTTTCTTTTCCTTTTCCTTTTCCTTTTCTTTTCTTTTCTTTTCCTTCCTTCCTTGCCTTCTTTCCTTCCTTCTTTCTTTCTGTCTTTCTGTCTTTCCTTCTTTTCTTTCCTCACTCTGGGTAACAAATGATTTACATAAAACAAGGCAGCAGAAGGAGGCAGAATGGCCGTGACTCCCTGCTGCACAGGGACTCACAGCAGGTCTGTCACTTAGGCTTTCTATGGAAAACTAGCTCTGGATGACAAGGAAAAGGATGCTGCAGTAAAACTGCTCGATTTGTAGGGTCTATAGCCTAGAGGGGAAGTGATGTAATTATAGTCTATCTGCCTAGTTCTTTTAAGACCACGTGTCACACAGCCAGCACCACCCAAAGCGACCTCCATACACTGTTCCTTCTCAGTTTGCCCTTTCCCTGTATCTCCCTGAGCATCCTGATTTTCCTGATTATCTTACATCTGACTTCATTTCTCATCTCCCCGTTTTGGGCCTTGCCTCAGCTTTCAAACCAGAGCCTTGGCATAATTTGATAACCTTCTTTCTATTATTTTCTTATACTTCAGATTCCCCTTCCATCCTCAGCACTTCACACGGGGTAAATGTCCCGCCAATTCTAACACAATGTCTGGGACCATTAGACTCAGCTGAGCTACTTATTGCACAAGAAAAATGCCTTAGTGGGTTGGATAAGCTCCAAATTTGATGGGGAAAATAGATTCTGATATCACACCTTTCTTCATGGGGTATGGTTTGGTACCTAAGAACATTCTTATTGAAGTTATAGTACTAGACTGTTGACCAGTCAATGGACAAAGCCCATCCAGATGTTCTTAAAAGTGCTTACCTGTGCATCAAAGTGTGGGGTTTTTCTTTCTCATTTTCAGAACGATCATTCAAGTGTGTACTTCCGGCCTGGAAATGTTGCTCTACAGGTAACTAAGTAGTGGTGAAGATAGTCGCATGGGCTGTCAAATTGAGAGTCGCAACATTTCATTACCACCACTGATCTCTCTTTGAGAAGAGGAAATGGGTTAGGAGGGAGATCTAGCTACAGGTTTCCTCTAGGCCTTCCACATTTTGCTGGAGTGGCAGCCATGACCAAGAGATGATAAAGGTCTCATTTTTTTGCTCTTCCTGCTACTTTCTGTGGATTCAGGCTTGAGCAAATGGGTAAATTTACTTGGGATGATGAGAACCAGTTTTCCCAGTTGTTGTGAAGGGAGTTACAGTTAAGGAAAGAGGGCACATTGGAATATATTCCGTGGTGGTCTTGATTTGGGATTGACATAATCATAAAAATAAAGGTTTATAACTGATAGAGATATTTAGTAGCTCTGTTGCTTAGTAGACGAGACATAATGTTACATTATTAACAGTGAATATCCCTAGACCCTGGGCTCCTTGGATAAAAGGTTGATTCCTGGGATGGGGCAGAGAGAGTAAAAGATGAGTCTGAGATAGATTGTTGAGCCAGTGTATGCAAAAAAAAAAAAAATCAAGGAAACATTAAAAAGGCATGGGGATCTAGAGTGAAGTGTTTCCCACTAGCTAAATCTGGAAAAATCTGAGCATCAAAATAAATTAAAGATAGTAATGGGTTATAACCCATTGAATAGGGTAAGAATGCATGAGTCTAAATAGATAGATAGATGGAAAGATGGATGGATGGATAGATAGGTAGAGAGATGAGAAGGAACAGTTATTTTCCTAACTAATCAATATGGATGGAATGATAATGTTAGAAAATAATAAATGGTGGTTAATCTAGTCCATGAACATTTGATGACAAAGTATTTACATACTGTCAGAGACAAAGTAACTACCCACAAATTAATGATGAAGGCAAAAAGAGTAATTTTGCAGTGGAGAAACTTAGCAAAAATGATTTTAGCCAAAAAATCAGTTCGTATGACCAATATCTGGCCAAACCCACATCATGTATCTTTTAATGTGACGCACTGAGAAGTGAGAATATCACTTCTAGGATATTCCTGCCTTTTTGCAAAACCATAATCCAATGCTAGGGAAACACTAGACAAAACTCAAAGTCAAAGGCATCAAAGTCAAGAAAGACAAAGGAAAGCTGAGAAACTGTTCTAGATTAAAGGAAATGAAAGACACTTCTGTCCTGAATGAAACATGTGACCCGGAATTGGGTCCCGACCCTGAATGAGGTCCCAATCCACGAAAAAAAAAAGCTATAAAAGATATTATTGGTACAATTGATAAAATTTGATGACAGACTGTGGATTAAATACTAGTATTGTATCAACAGTAATTTTCTGGATTTTGATTACTGTACCATGTAAGAGAATATATATAAGTTATATAAGAGAATGCCCTTCTGATTAGGGAACACACACTGAAATAACACACACAGAGGGGCTGTGTTTACCACTCCATCTCAAATGTCTCAGAAATCTGATGAGAGAGGGAAAGAGGGAGAAAGTGAACAATTTCTGAAGCTTTGTGCAGGTTACACATGATTTCCTTATACCACCTTGCAGTTTTTGTCCAAGTTTGAAATTGTATTACCAGCAAACAAGCAAAACATTTCCACCACCTGAAAGGGGACAGTTCCCTGTGAAAGAAGAAAACATAAATGGCTTTGAAATGGGAAGAACTGGGTAATGGGAAAGCAGACAAAGTAGAAAGTAACATTCTTTTATTGGTAAAATAACATAACTCTTCTCAGCGTAGCCATGACCAGAAGGGTTATTTCAAACTCCCCTAAAGGTAAGGAGTATGTCTGGAATATCAAAACTCAGTCTTCAAATTTATATCTTCACAGGAAAACTGGAAGTCCTTTAAAAGTCCTTTTTTTTTAGGCTCGTTGAGAGTTCCTAGTGCTCAGTGTTTCCACTGAGATAAACACGAGATAAAACCCAAGTAGTCTGTGACAGTGATAACTGGGGAAGCCTTATCTTTGCCTTGTGTTAATGGGCTGTCTTATTTAGCATGGCTGATGGGCAGGACTCAGTCCTGAAGTAGGTCAGTGAGAGAGGCAGTGTGATGGGAAGGATGGTCGGCAGGCCCCCTCCGCAAGTAAAGCTTGGTCCAGCATTCTTCTCTGCACTTCTTAGGGTCTTTACCATTTTGTAATAATTTGCCTTCTTTTCTTGCTAAGTGAAAGGGGGCTAAGATAACTGAGCACTCCTCACTATAGGCATTGCTTTATTTAATTCCCACAAGAACGCTGGGAGCTAATAGTTATCATCCTATTTTACAGATAAAGAAACCGAGGTTCCACGTGGGCCAGTAACTTTCCAATAATCACACATAAAATAAATGGCAGTCTACCTAACTGCAGGATGCCCAGTCTTTCCGCCATATTGCCCTGCCTCTGCATAAAGATGTGCTACTTCTGGAGGGTGAAGCAGGGTCAGTCAGCCTCAGGAGCACCTTCTCTATTAGGAAGACTTCGTTGTAGGGGGATGAGAAGGTGTTGCGCATGTGTGCACTATAAGGGCTGGAAGTGGTAGTTGGAGAGAATCAAAGGTAACACATAAAATTCTCTTCTGTTTTTGTTTCACCAGGCATCTCAGTTTTCTTGCCACCCACTTTAAATTTCTTAATCACCCAGCTGCCTATTTGTTTTTATGCTTTGAAGAACCGTTATGGATCTGAGAGGCAGGATGAAAATCTTTGTTCCTTGTAAATATACATTTGGAAACTCCCTCGCTGGGAAGTAATCCCGTGAAAGCAGTTATTGGGACACCCACGGCGCATGGGCTAGAGAGGATGTTAGTTCCACGTTCTCTGGGTCTGATATTGAATTTAAGAAATAGAGAATGTCTCTCGCCACACTCCATACCCGTAATACCCCCTCCCACACAACACACACACACACACACATGCATATACACGCACAGACACGTACAGACACATACACACATAGTGAAAATAACATATAAAAGCTGACAGAACACAAACTGCAGAGTTTGATAGAAATAAATACAAGTCTCAGCTTCTTACTCACAATTATTGTGGCCTTGGGGAAATGACACCCACTTCAAGAATTTTCAGATAGGAGTCAAGAAGTGAGAAATTGGGATGTCACTGTTTCCTCAGAAGGGTAACACCTTGGGCTTCTCTTGTCAAATGGGAATGAAATATCATTCTTGTTATGTCAAGGGTTGTGACATTCAAATCAAACAATGGATATTAAAGTGCTTGGGATACTGTTAAATCACATTCAAATATAAAGAGTTGTTTGCTAAGCAATTATTTTCTCCATCGTCAATGAGTCACCTGCTGCAGAGCAAAGGGTCAACCTCTAGTAAAATACAAAATAACTCACAGTACCTCTCTAGAGTGTAACAGCTCTCTCATTAGACTAATCCCCACAGGCAGGAACTCCATCCAGCATATCATAGGCGTTCAACAAATAATAAATGTGTCTGGACACATAATTGGATGTGGAGACCAAAAGATTGTACCTTGCCGTGTTAGTTCTCCAAAGTCACATTCAAAACACCAGCCCCTGGCACAGTTCCTGACACAACACTACTGTCACCATTAATTTTGTGTCAATTTGGCTGCATCATGGTGCTCAAATACTTGGCCAGACATTAGTCTGGGTGTTTCTATGGAAGTTTATTTTGGGGTAAAATTAACACTTAAGTCAGTAGACATTAAGTTAAGCAGGTTTCCCTCCATAACGTGGGTGGGCCCCATCCGGTAAGTTGAAGGTCTTCAGAACAGAGATTGACTTCCTCAAGCAAGAAGGAATTCTGCCAGCAGACCGTCTTTGGATTCAAACGATGACTCTTCCCTGGGCCACCAATCTGCTGGTGTACCCTGCAGATTTTGGACTTAGCAATCACATAAGCCAATTCCTTAAAACACATCTCTCTATATATAAATACACATCTTGTTAATTCTGTTTCTCTGGAGAACCCTGACCAATACAACCATCAATATTCAATAGAGATCAGTTTTTTAACTCCCCCAATTAATTACTCTTTAACTACAGAAATATTTTATTTAAAAAAATTTGTTTTCCAAATAGAAATTATTTCAAAAATGTTTCTGTATTTAATTATCCATTTCTTCCCAAATATTTATTGACTCTCTCTTCATTTAGTTATTTACCAATAAACAGATTGGAAGAAAAACTGCATAGAACAAATAGAGAAGCACACCCAAATTTATCAATGGAGAGAGTCTAAAATACTGACATATCACATATTCAAAAATGACCAAAAAATGGGCAGAGCTTCGTAGAACTATCCCTATTGTAATAAACACTGCTTGTTGAAAAGAGTGGACATAAGGAAACATGTTTCTCTGTAAAAATACTAGACAGAAAAATCAGTTGAGGTTGAATTCATTTAATTCTGCATCTAATGTAGAAAAATGGCAGTGAAATTCTGAAAGGAATGTGAAATTGCTCTACCTTCTAAGTGTCTATGAATAAAATAGGTGAAGACCAGGAGGAAAATTCAGTTTGACGCCGAGAGTAATTTTCACCTTTCGTTCCTTGAAAAGCATACATGAAATGTTGTGTGTTGTCATGGAAACAGTAACATAAGAAACCCGTTTGTGAATGCTTGAAGTCAGGTGCAAGAATGTCTAATACAGGCTGTTTGTATTGTCTCTTACAGAGTAGAAAAAGACTGATAATAATTTGGTATGTAACCATCTTTCTGTTTATTCTAAATCTTCCCTTAGTGAGAAGACTTGCATTTTTGTGCCTCTGTCAAGAGCTGATTGGAAGCTTGTGCCAGTGGGTAGGACTTCTTCCTCTGAGGCTTCAGTGTGGTGTCATCTGGTTAGGTCATTTTTGGTGGGAAACTATACGGTCACCTGGTAGATCTTCTGTGGGGCAGATTAAATTCCTAGTAGAAGGCTGTCTAGAAAGTATAAATGCTAGTGTTAGCATTCTAGAGCCAAGAGGGAGGAAAAGGCCTGGGAATATTCAAATTTTAGTTGTGCACACATGCATGTGTTATTTGTATGCTAATTTGACTGGGTGTATAGAGTTATATATTCAAAATCATTGTATCTCAGAATATTTGAAGATACTGCTTTTTTTCCTACTGTCTAAAATGGAT